GGTCAAGCTTCTCAACACATCTCACTGTGTTAAATGAAAACGACAAAACCAGACCAAGGGTCTGGGAAGCAAAACACAGGGAACGTTCAAGTCCAGCATTCACTTGAAGTGGGCTGTCATCAGTTCCAGACTGTCAGCAATCAGAGACGTCCAGGAGAGATGCAGAAGGCCTGCTAGGTCCTATTCATTTTAATGAGCTGTCTGGCTCCAGCCCCTGACCGAGAGCCTTCTGAAAACCAACTTGAGTAGGACCCCAGTGTGAGACCTTGTGTCTGCAGAACACTACTCCCCTTGGGGCCTCTCTCCTAAAGCTTTGCTTGTAGATGATCTTGATCCTCATCACACCACAAGGGAAAAGGGTAGACAATGGGCAGTACTTATGGATAGAAGGCACAATAAAGTCCAGGGAATGCCAGACTAGTAGTTTGATTTTCCTTCCCACATTTTCCCCTAAGAATGTCTTTATACCTTCTCTACTCCATCCTGGGAAGTTTGTGGAGATCTCAGGAAGATGCCAGGATCATCACGAGGGCCAGGCCTGCACAAGGGCCAGAGAAGAGCTACACATGGTGGCACACATCCACAGGTTCAGCACTTAGGAGGCTGAGGCAGGAGAGTGCTGACTTCAAGGTCATTCTGGGTAACATAGCCAGTTGTACATGAGCTGAGACTAAATAGCAAGACCCTTCCTCAGCCCCTCACTCCCAACACATACCAAAAACCAAAGGTTTTGGAGAGAGGAAAAAAGGGGGGGGGAGAAGCAGAGAGAGAGAGAGAGAGAGAGAGAGAGAGAGAGAGAGAGAATAGGGAATAACAACTGTCTGTCTCAGAAAGGATTCTCCTTCAAGTCTCAACCCAGAGTAACTCTTTCCCCTTTACTGTCTCCCTCCAGGACTCTGAGGCAGGCCCCATTCTTTGCCTCTGTTCTCCTGAGGTCCATTTTCTTTTATTGCTTTTGGAGGAGTTCCTCCTAAGGCTCCTCTGCTGACAGATTTGCAAAGGGCATACATTCCTCGGAATTCAGAGTGGCAGATGTCCAAGGCACAGTGGTGTGTGGAACATATAAGGACAGGGGAAAGCAATCATGCCCATCCTTCGCCATCTCTGCACCCAGTGAGGCCATGCTGGCAGCTGGAAATCAGACACTGTGGAAATATTTACACCATGACTATTGCATACATCACAAATGGGGACTGTTTTAGCAAACATCAGCTGGCATAGCATTAAAGAGGACCAACGACAGGCTTCGATACAGAGGTTTGGTCCAGATTAGCCTACCCTGCCAGGCATTCAGGTGCCTGGTAACAGATTCCATCTGTGCTAGTTCACCTTCTGTTGCTATACTATAATAGCCACGGTTGAGTAACTTTATAAAGAAAAGAGGTCTATTAAGGCTCCTAGTTCTGTAGGTTCGAGAGCACGGTGCCAGCACTAGCTCAGTTCTGGAGAGGATCCCACAGCGAATACCATCACAAGTATCAGAGCACAAAAAAGAGAGAGAAGTCACATCACCAGTGGAAAGTCAAAGAGACAGGGGAAGAGCCACATTTATTCCCTTTTAACAACACTCTTGAGGGAACTAATTCGGGTGTCCCAGGAGAACTGCAATGCTTCCTCTAGGCAAAGGCTCCAGTGCCCTGAAGACTTCCCACAAGGCTCTACTTCTTGTCAGTCTGCCCCAACAATATTTGCCCACTGGTGACCAAACCTCTAAACCTGTTCAAATGGGATCCAGTCATAATATAATTGGAGGTGTCAACAGCACCAACCCAACTCAGCATCATGGTAGCCACAGTGAGTGTTCTATTCTTCCCACATATCACTTTTAAAGAAAACATTAACATATACTCTTTCCATTTGCTGCTTTTCCAAGCCTAGTATTTAAAGGAATGCATTCTTGCTCTATCAAGTGACTGTGATTTATTTTTCTCCAATCAACAAACCAAGGCAAAGAATATATTGACATTATCTGTCTTAGGTTACACAGGAAGCTCAATGTGTAAATCTGTTAATAGATGCTGTATTGGTTCCTTTTCTATTGCTGTGAGAAAACGCCATAACCAAGTCTATTTATAGAAGCAAGGGTTTATTTGGGCTTATGGTTCCAGAGGGATAAGAGTCCATCACCATTGTGTTGTGGAAGCCAAGCATCAGGCAGGCATGAAGCAGTCATCTGAGCACCCCCATCTTAAACCACAGGCAGGAAACAGAGAGAAAACTTTGAATGGCTTGTAATCGTGAAACCTTAAAGCCTACCCCCAGTGAGCATGCTTCTTTCAGGAAGGTCACATCTCCAAAACATACCCAAAACAGCGCCACCAACTGGCTGCCAAATACTCAAACATCTGAGCCTATGGGGGACATTCTCAAAGTACCACAGGCACCTCTCATTTATTCCCCCCACTCAGACTTATGATTAATATCCAAGGTTCGGCATCAATTCTGTTTTTTTTCCTGTGAATACTACTATTACAATTATGGCATACCATGAAATAGAATACTGTGCAGATATTTAATGAGATGAAGTTAATATATGTGTTTCTGTTCTGCAGAAAACCAATGGCTTTGTAAATGTATTTGCATATTTTCAAGTATACAGGAAGTGTGTTCCTATCTCTATAGGCCTGCATATACATAGAGTACTCTAAAATAATGCACCAAAAAGTTCAACAGGAAATAGACGGGAATGCATACTTCATTGTTTTATTACATATTTTATTAATATCCTTTGTTCTTTATGGCATTTTACCATGTGCAAAAAACTGCATTCTCAATTTTTTTAAGCAGCTTATTTAAAAGTGAACAAAACAAATGCTGCTGCTAAAAACATCTTCATCGCACTACCAGCCCTCTGTGCTCTCACTTCCGAGCCCAGCCAACCACTCCTCCATCCCATCTGCATCGTGCTCAGGGCTGCCTTTGTTCTACCTCCCTACTCTCTGCTCCAAGCTGCTCCTCTATTGGAGATCACTCAGCAGGTTGTCTGCCTGAGCAAAGAAGTCCTCATGTTGTCACTTAACGACCAGTCTGCAGTCAACTTGACCTGAGGATTTCTTCTTGATGCTAGATGGATCAGGGGGAATTGCATAAATACATCCGAATAGCATTTTCCCACACCAGAACAAGTCACCTTAGGGTGAGAGAATGGAAATATTCTTTTGTAGCAGGGTTGGGAACTTGAAGAGAGTAACACCCAGACATGGTATGGATATAAAATATGAAAAAGTAAAACAAAAATTAGTTACTAATGTAAGAAAGCATTGTTTCAAATGGTAGAATAGAAGGAAAGCCAAATACAGTTAAATATTACTCTATTACTACAAAATGGAAAACAATGTAAATTCTGTAAAGTCCATGAACATACACATAGTCCAGCAATGGACCAATTTCTTAGTCAGAGGGTGTTAACTTGGTGGTTCAAGGCAAGACTTGGTTCATCACTAGGGATAAGCCAGGGATTGCTGTCTTCATCAGTTGGCAACTGTAATAAAAAAGCATACACTAGGTGGCTTTAAAAAAACAGATGTTTATTTCCTAATATTCTGAGCCTGGAAGTCTAAGATGAGTACCAGCATTGGGTGGATTCTTGGTGAGGACAGTACTCCTGACCATGACCTCCCAAGGCTTTTCTTTGGTTCATGGAGAGAGGAGAAAAGGGAAATATGAGAAAGAGAATGATCTTAAGTATCTCTTCATTATTCATAAGGACATGAATCCCACCGTAAGTGGATTCTTTACCCTACAAGACCATATTCCAAACCCTATCACCTACAAAGACTTCATCTCCAAGTACCATCAGTGTTTGGGGCTTCAGGCTGCACTATATAAACATAGGAGCATCACAAACAATTATTCCAAAGCAGTCACAAAAATGAACTCTGTTCATTAGTCTCATGTCATGACTCAGTAAGCCTGTAACGCTTGAAGAAAACATAGGAGGGTTGGAGAGATTGTTCAGTGTTTAACACTGGCTGTTCTTTCAGAGGACCCAGATCTGATTCTCAGAAGCCACATGGTGGCTAATTCGATCATAACTGCAGTCACAGGAGATCTGACACCCTCTCTAAGCACAGACCTCAGGAACATGTGTGGTACACAGATGTGCAAGCAAAACACCCACATGCATGGAGTAAGAAAAATTAAAAGTTTAAACATGAAGTTGGGGTGGTGGTATCTGAGAGGAGGGTAGTGGGGAAAGAATACATTGTGTGAAATCCTCCTAAAATAAATTTTAAAAAACCACATACAACATTTTTAAAAAGAAAATATGAAAGAGGATATCTGAATTGTATCAGGTATCTGATGAATAAAAGTTTGGAAGAATATGGGTTATGTGGATTAAGAGATGAATGGGCTCAATGGTTAAATCTCAAAGAGGTTCACAGATACATCAGCGGCAGCATGAAGGACAGTTTCCTTGGGATATATGTTCTTGAACTGATCCTATTTAATACAATTACTAGTGACTTTGATGAAGACAGACGAGACATGGTTATCAAGTTTGTCTAGACTACACTAAAGCTATTGAACATGAGTGTTGTAACTCTTTGCTCAGAGAAAAAAGAAACTTTGGATTTGGGACGCCTTCAGTGTTCATTGGGAAGTTTGGTATTGACATGAGGTCTCGTGCTGAGAAAGGGAAAAAGGGAGGAAGTTAAGCACATCCGAGTTGGCAACCCAGAGTGCCGGAAGACAGCATTTAGTAATGGGGAGAAGTTTGCAGTGCGAGGCAGGAAGGGAAGCTCAGGCGGGGCGGGGGGGGGGGGCCTGCCAGGCAGGAGGAAGGCTGGGAGGGCAGGGAGACAGCAGTAGCTGTCACTAGATTTCTGGGAAGCCCTTCACAGTGAGTAATGATGAACCAGATGTCCTCATTTTCTGCCTCTCAGAGAGGCCATCAGTAAAGAACTCTACAATTTTCAACCCTTTGAGGGGATGATCTTGCTTTCTTTTAGATACATTGTCAAGTGACAGTAAGAAGTCTCATTATCTTTCTCCTGCAGGTGTATGACCAGAGCTTCGCAATGAAGAGCACACTCTGCTTTCAAATCAATCAGGAAGCCCCCGAAAAAATGGCCACCTGAGATGGACACACCCATCTATACACAGGTGTAGAGAACAGCTTTGCAAATAAAGTGCCAAGGAGATATTACAACGAGCTGAGACCTATTATACGCTCAATATGAGTCACCCCGGGATGCTGCCAAGGTCAATTGGATGTCAGGTACATTAACAGAGAGTGGAGTCCCGGAGGGAGTGGTGGCCACTGCTCCACTTTGAGATGAATCATCCATGCAGCCCAAGGCCTTCTACTTTGTGATAAATCTGAGCACATTCAGGGGAGAGTGGCCCAACTCAAGAGAAAATTTAAAACCACGATATAGTTGAGAAAATAAAAAGGAACCCGTACTTTTCGACTTCAAAAAGTAAGACTCAGGGAAACATGAGGTTTCAGATATTTGAAGGGCTGTCAAGGAGGTGGGTTGTAGTATCAGTTTCACGCAACTATAAGCTACATAAATAAGCAAGATCAATGAGCATAATTTGTTTATGTAGAGCCATTTAGGCTCCATAGGAGGAATGTCTTTCTAGGAGTCCGAGCTCTCTGAAGGAATAGATTTCCTGGAGTGGCTCTGAGCTCTTCATCATTTGACATGTTCGGGGGGGGGAAGTGGGTAATGATGAAGTAGAAATGAGTATTTGGGCTAATGGCCATCTCTAGTCTAGTGACATCATGCGTTTTAGCTGTTTTGTGTCTACTGCTGTATCTGCCACGGTGCCATAGGCTCACAGATACTTCTGTATCTACTACAGTACCATTGACTCAGTAGGTATCGATGGACTTCCACTGCAATGTGTACGAGGTCACATTTAAGGGAGATAACCACCACCCTACCCAGGATCTCCACTAAGGATGGAACTCAGGGATGCTACTACTGAACAATCTGGAAGGAGCGAGAGGAATCGCCTCAGGTAAGCCTGTCTCTTCCCTACCTGGATTGTCCACGTCTTCCTTAGAAATGCCACCTCTGCCCAGTCAATGCGGCCCTGTATGAAGCCACTTCTTCATCACTTCCCCCTGAATACTTACATAACCCAGTTCAGGATTCTCAATTTTTCTCAGTAGTTTCCGTGACTGCTAGTTTTAGCTGTCCATCTGACCCACATAGAGTCACCCAGGAAAGAGTCCAGTGAGAGACTTTTAGATTAGACTGGCCCGTGAGAACATCTGTAAGAGAGGATCTTAATTACACCATTGAGGAAGGGAAACCTGCCCACCACTAGCAGCATCCCTCCCTCCATTTCAGACCCTGGACCGTATAAGAGGGAAGGGTGTGAGCTGAGCACTAACATGCGTGCATCAATCCACTGCTCTCTGCTTTTGACTGTGGATGTAATCTGACCAGTTTCAGTTCTTGTGACCTTGACTTCCCTAGAATCATGGATTATAACCTGGAATTGTGAGTACAATCAACCCTTCTTCCCTGAAGTGCTTTGTTGGGTTATTTTATCACAGACACAGGAAACTAAGCTAAGACAATTTCTAAGCCCACCTTGCATTCCATGTAACTCAGGGTCCTGTCTTTCTTCTGTGTGGGCCCAGATGGATTTGCCTTCCCATGGACTTGGCAGCTTCTCCTTTCCCCAGGAGTACCCATTCTCCCCCTCCATCCCTACCCCCTTTATCCGTAAGAACTTTTTATAGCCAACAAGGGTCTGAGAACCAAACTGAGTACCTAGCATCTCAGAGAGGTCTCTGGTAGTGGAAATCAGGTCATCTTATACCAATTTACTCTAGGAACCGGAAGCCTTGGGGCTGAGTGGGTGTTGTCCTAACCTGACCACACTGTGATAACTATAAATAACAGCTGCTTTTTCCTCTTCTAGTTTATCCTCCATCACCCGAACAATCACATTCTCACCTGTCTCCTGGGGAAAATTGCTTCATTATCAAGTGAACTTCTCTATGAAGGAATTTGCAGTTGCTTCTTCCACGGGAACACCAAATTGTCAGTCCAAATGTCCCTTTGCTGTTCCCGGCAGTAATTCCTCTATGTTACCATGAGCATTGTGAGCCCTTCTTCATCATCTTCTTCTCCTGAAAGAAAAACTGAAGCATCCCACTCTTTCCTCCCCAGTGACTAACTCCTTTCAGGCCCCATTATCTTTGTCCTCCTGATTCTCCATGCTTACCCAAGCATTCAAGTTTTACAGTGAAAGACGATGTGTCATGTCATAGAAAGAGGGATGTAGGAAAGGATGGAGTGAGAAAGGAAAGCACGGAGGGATAAAGAAAGGGGAAGAAAGAGAAGAAAAGGAAAACTTGATAAGATGAAGGCACTGATAAAAGTATCTTCCAAAGACCACAGATTTTTACATGACTGTAAAGATTTTTCTGTTTTATTGTAATTCTAAGGAAGAAGATGCCAACAAGAGAGTTTGCATAACTCATATCATGTTCAGAGCCACCCATTCAAACAACATCCACGTAATGCCTACCATATGGCGCTGGGCTGCAGGTCAAAGCTCTCAGCCATAGTCACTGCCCTCGGGCTTCTCAGGTGAGTAGGGGGCAAAGCAGTAAAGAAAAAAAGAGCAGGGTCCTGACTGAGACTAAGACACGGGGGCTCAGGTGGGAGGAAGGGATCTTAAAGGAAAGGGTGTCACTCCTCAAACACTTCTTGGTTCTGATAAGATCATCATATTCAAGTTGTAATTATTCTTTCTTAAAATTTATCAACAATGTTTCTGCTATTCTAGTATTTTAAGAAATAAGGCTCACCTCCATGAGAAATCATAACATAACGTGTTCTTCTAAGTGGTGGAAAGTTGAAGCACTTTCAGTCCTTTGGGAAGCTGATCGCTGTACTTGGAGTATGCTTGTTTCATAAATATCAAAATGCTCCAATGGGGACAAGGGCTCGCATAAGCAGGTCCATTCATCCTTTCTTCTATTTGTTGTGGAAATATGCCTTGATCTCCTATGATGTGGCAAGCATTGGTCTAGGTACCAGGGCTGAAGTCGAGCTCATAGCAATCAAGGTGCTTGCTCCTGTGACATACATCGTAGGTAGAGATAAGAATAAACAAGGTCAGCAGACGAAAAAGTTCTGCTTGTAGTAAATTCTATGAAAACAAATATACAGAATAGATGAGAAGGGGAAGAGGTTATCAGGTTAGAGAAACTTCTTGGAAATGATAACCTCTGAGCTGTGACTTAAAGGATAAGAAAGGGTTAGCCAGGGAAAGACCAAAGCAAACAGAAGAAGGAAATGGCACAAGGCTCTGGGGTAAGATTACGTGGGCAGCGACACTCTAAAGAAAGCAAGTGGGGGGAACTATGAGAGTCAGTTTGGGCACAACTACAAAAGGGAAGGAGAAAAACAGCCATGATAAACACACAAATATAGAGTACCATAACTGCAGGACATAGAACAGAGTTAGGAGAAATTAACCATCACTCTAAAAGGACCTTTGGGTCCTAACCTTTCTTGTGCCATCTGGTTCCAGCACAGTTTCCTAAAAGCCAACTCATTCTATTCGTCAATTTCTTCATTGCTATAGCAAAAAAAACAAAAAATTTAACAAATGTAATATAAGAAAAGATTCATCCGGACTCGAGTTTGGGGTACAGTCCATCATGATGTCAAGGCATGGTGTCAAGTGGGGCTCTTGCTGGGACAACAGGAACAGGAGGCAAATGGTCACCGTGTTTGCTATCAGAGGCAGGGAGAGATGACTGTTGGAACTCTTCCTTCTCACCCTCTTTATGCTCAGTCTGGGACACACTCAACCCTCCAGTTTCTGAGATGGTGCTGCCCACATTTTCAGAGGGTCTTCCTGTCTCAGCTAAACATCCCTGGAAATACCCTCGCACACGTGCCCCACGAAGCTTCTCCTGGGTGTTCACAAATAATGTTAAGTTGATAATAAAGGCCAACCCCACATGTCTACCCCTTGTCATCTTGGCACCCAAACATGTCACTTTAAATCATAACACTCTACCCCTGGTCCCTAAAGTCTCATGATAATTTCACAATGAAAAAATGTTCATCTCCCAAAGTTCCCAATGTCTTAAAAGCCAAGTTCAATGTCTCTTCTAAGTAAGAATATAATATCTTAATTACAAGCCCCTACAAAAGGAGTTAAACTACATAATTCCCATATGCAATAGCAGTTCCGTGCCAGAATGTGAGCTTGTGGTGACGTCATCAAGGCTTCAAAAGACCTGGGCAGCTCGGCCTATCCAGTTTTGCCACCTGCCACACACATAGCCTCTCACCTGAGTGAGCTCCACTCTGGCAGCTTTCCTCAGAACTGGGATTCACCTCCACAGCTTCACACAGCAGCCTTTTTGGTGCCTCATTAGGGACTCCAACCCAGCCCGTGCTCCCTGGCTTCACTCTGGAACCTTGGGGCAAGCCTCCACGATCTAAAAATCTTGTATTTTGCTTATCTTCAAAACAAGCTCTACAGTTCTGGACAATGTCACCAAGTACTGTGCCAGCTGAAGATGTGCCCTGGCCTCTCCCACTACAGTATAGTGGCTTCTGTATTTTCTGGTGGATGGGCCGGGGAAACATTCCTCTAACCAGGTCTTCTCAAGCAGGGAGCCCTTCCGCGGCGCTATCAATTCAGGTCTCTCCTTTGAAACAAATTTGTTTTTTCACAAGTTGGAGCCTTTGACAGGTAGGATCTCATCCTCAGAACAATTTTCTTATTATCACTGCAAAGAACATGAGCTTTTTCTTTTATAGCACTAATCTTTGCAACAATTAAAGATACTCTGTCTGAATATACTCTGTCCGATCTTTCATTGGGCACATACTCCTGTTCTCACCAAACTGCACATTTCTGCATCTTTCCTGCTCACTCTGTGTGATCTTGTCTTGCTGAAAGCTGGGTAAGTACAATAAGTGATAATTAAGACATTGATCAAATGTTATGCTGCCTTGAAATTTCCTCTATCAAATAATTCTGTCCATTACTTAGAATTCGGTCTCATGTTAATTTTTATGACAATACAGCTAGTTTTGTTTTTGCCAAAATATAACACAAATGGCTTCCAGCTCACTCCCCAACATAGTTCTCGTCCCGCTATGAAACTTGATGAGCAGTTTACACTGCTTGCCCTCGGTCAGCATCCTGGTTGCCCACTCTCCAATCAGAATGACTCATTAAGCCCTGAGCACCCTAAGTCTTGTTTAGCTCACAGCTCCAAAGTTTTCCACATTCCTCCCACAAATTCGTTCCAAAAGCTTACAGACAAGATGGTCAGCTGGGCCACATCAACAGACTCTTATCTCAGCATCGTTTTTCTGTACTGGTTACTTTGTTCACTGTTCTGACAAAATACCCGAGAAAGAGAACCTAAGGAAGACGGGAAGAAGCATGATGTTGGCTCGCACTTTGAAGGTACAGTTTATCACAGCCAAGAAGCTGGGAGATGACAGCCAACACTCAATTGTCTTTGTCCTTTCTGTTCAGCCTGGGAGAGCCAGCTCATGGGATGGGTCTGCCTGAGTTAAAACTCTCTTGAGATGTCCTCATCAACACACCACAGAGCTGCGTTTCTTGCATGATTCTAGAGCCCGTCAAGTTGACAATGAAGATCAACCACGGCGCCAGGAGACTGAACACAGAGAGAAATGGAAGAAATAGGCTGACAATGGGAGAGGCAGATCAAAATAGAGGCTGTGTCCTTCGGAAAGACTCTGTAAATAACTAAATACCAATCCAGCGGCTCTACCGATGATCGACTTCACATCTCACATAGCAACAAGGCTGCGGGTAGTCCCTGAGACTGGCGCAGCAACTCTGTGAGCGAGCTTACCAGGAGAAATTCCTGCGGATTTCCTATTCCTTATTCTTACTACTTATTCTTGACAAGTTCTTATTTTTGTGCTCGTTTCCTGAGAGTCAGAAAATGTCCAGCTTGTGCTCCAGCCTCTCCTCTATGTATTATTATCCACAGAGGGAGGAGAAGCAGGGTAGTAGGCAGTGGGGTGCCGGGGTGTTCTTTTGGATGAGTACTCCAGTCCAATAGCCAAAGAAAACAATCTCAGAAACCTCCTCTCGTCTGACTGGCCAGAACTGGGTCATATGGCCATTGTAAGCTGCAAGGGAGGCTGGGACAGTAAATATCTGCAAAAAAAGAAAAAAAGGAAAAAAAGGAATGGGATTATTTAACATTGATGTGAATGAGTGAAAATGCAGGTGTTTCCTGTTGATCAACATGGGAGCCTTGGAAGGAAGGAAGGAAGGAAGGAAGGAAGGAAAGAAGGAAGGAAGGAAGGAAGTGGGGAGGGGAGCATGGGCTACAGGGACTCCTGCCTGGGCATCAGAGCCCTTGGGGTAGGTAGAAAAGAAGGAAGGGGCAAAGTGATGGAGAGACACCCAGATCAGGCATCAGAGACGCAGACTATAGCCCCAGACCTGAGCAAATCCCTAAAACAATTTCAGCCACTGTTCTTCATCTACAAAATGGAAGCCATAACACCTACTGAGAAGCAGGCTGTGAGGAACAGAAACTGCCAGGGTGAGCTATGAGCACCTAGCATCTGCCCACGGCTCCATGGGGATGCGGGGAGAAAGTGTAACTTCTGTCCCTATTTATGTCCCTCGTTCTTTAAAAATATATACAGTTGTGCATATATTATACATAACACATTACAATAGCATATATATAACTCATAAATAAATACATGTGCATATGTTGGAAGCGCTCAAAAAATTTACTCATAAAGGCCCAGTTTTTGAAAGTTAGAAGCACTTTTTAAAGAATGCAAGGCATATAAAGCATTTGCCACGAGACTGCGCACATATTGGGCCCTCAAAAAAAGGCCGTCCCTGTTCTTGCTTTCAGATGTAGAGTTCTTACAATTCATAATGGCAAGGACAGGCATCTGCCATAGTCATTCCCAGCTCCCCTCAAACACACACACACACACACACACACACACACACACACACACACCAATGCATAGCGTGTGCTTTTTCAACACCCCCAATTCCTCTCCCAGAAAGTAAGATCACAACTGCCGCTCTACACAAGCCGCTCCCAGGAGGCCTCATCTGTCACAACACCCCCAGCATCTTTCCAAGCCACCGTCTGTCCTTTCTGCGTCCTGATTGGTGGGCATTTCCGGGAAGAGTCCACGAGGGTAAGGACAGGAAATAAAAGACCCCATGGGAGGCGAGGATTGAACACAAGAGCCGGGCTTTATCCTTGCAATTCCTTTCTCCCTGGGAACCCTGTGTCCCATTAGCATGAGCAAATGAGACTTGCCGGTATCTACCTCCCGCCTGCCCTCTCCGTTCTCCCTGGTACTTCTGGCACTAGAGGAAGCTCATCCCTTTCTTCCTCCCAGCGTCACCTCTGTGGTGGGCTAAAGACAAAGATGGTCGTGGGGTACAGGCAGAGAAACAGAGTCACAAGGTTGCTGAGTGGCACAGCTAGAAGACACCCGGGAGTCCTACCATTCAACCCAAATCACTTTCCTCATTAAAAGCCCAAAGATTTGAAGAAAAAAAAAAAAAAGCTGAGGTTCTTTTATATGGCTAAGGGCCCTCCACAGTACTTCGGCCATCAGTCACACGAGATGCGGAGGCATTGTTCATTTATTTAATTTAACCACCTCCCCCTCTCCGAGTGCTTTAAAAACCCACATTAAAATCTCACTTAACAATTTGACTGGCTCCCCTTTAGTTCCCGCTAAGCCAGCTGCCAATAAAGGAATAAAGTCGCGGAAGAAATAAGAAAGAAGCGTTCAGAACACTGAAGTCCTTTATTCGGCCTGTCCAGGCTGAGGCCTCTCTCAAGTGAACTGGGAGATAATGGTAATGGAATTACACATTGTTGACTAGATTGGGCACTGCCGCAGGCAGGTAAATACAAAAGCAAGGCTTTTTAATCAAAAATAACCCCCCTACATGCCTTTTTTCCTCCCTCTTATTTTGCCTTTCTCCTTCAGTTTGCCATAGATATTTCTCCACGTGCCTTGATACTATTTTGTCAAATAGTCTGGTTTGGGGGAGGTCCCCACACACATACATCTGAAAGCAACTCAAATCAGTAAGAATTACCCACCCTGCCTATGTTTGTGGAGACACAAATAACACCAGAGCCCACATCTCAGAAGCTAAACCAAACACACGTGGATTACCTCCCCCAAGATGACACAGAGCTTATCTCTTTGGTTTAGACTCCATTTTAACAAGATAAACATCGCTGGGCCCTGTGATCTGCCACCAGTGAAGCTGTTTACCCGCACAGTTGACATACAACGTGAGCTGTCGTGGAATATAAATTAGTGTGTGGCAGTTGGTTGTCGCCTCCTTCCTGTCCACCCCAGCGCCAACCTGGTTGAGTTAGTCACACCCTCAGAGAACAGGTCTGAGGTCTTACTCATGGAAAGAAAAAACAACCACTCCACGGTCATCTGTCATCTTTTCGATCTTATGATGCATCCTGACTCGTTCTGAGATTAAAATGGATGGAGCGACACCTCCCCAGGTAACCAGGAAGACATCCTGGGTACATCTGTCAGAGCTTGTTTTGTAAGTCACAGAAACGGATTCCACCCACCTCTTAGGCAAAGATAGAACCTATTAGAAGAGCATCAGTGGTTCAGAAGTGGGAAACCTCGAAGACCTCTAGGATGACCTAGGAAAAAGCTGAGCAGACAGGACCAGGTTACAGAAGCAGACTGTTTCCTGCACTGCTCCAGCCCTGGAGCACAGAGTTTCTGCATACTCTAATGGATGATATCCCAGGAGGATACAGTCAAGGGGTTAAGTCATAGGTAATGTCCATCCTTGGCTTATTGGTGACAGGAGGTTAGTATGCTCTTTCTGTTGTTAAGGGAGGCAAGCAAGAGACACACAATAGGGGACTACCCATCACAAGATCAGAATACTCACACACAAAAAAAAAGTTCAATGAGATACATGCCAGAACCGAATTTTAATAGGCCCAGGCTCAGAAAAGCATGCCTGGGAACTGCGTGTTTCCTCTGAGCATCAGACTGGAGGCAGCTTGCAGTGAGAGATGTTCCTATGGTCCTCAGATGAGCTAGACTCAGGCTTTGGGTATCATTACACAAGGACATCACTTTCATGCTAATATTATGCGTTTAACTATGTCCTGCCCCCAGCAAATTCGTATTTTGAAGTTTTCCCTCAGCACTTCAGAGTATGTTTGGAAAGAAGGTTACGGTCGGTATACTTGGCTAAGATGATGTCATACTAGAGTGGGCAGGCTCCTATTCCGATCTGACTCCTTTCCTTATGATGGAGCTTCAGATGCAGACACTCCTACTGAGGGAATGACACACTGTCACAAGCCAAGGAACTACCAGAAGCTAAGAGAAAGGGCTTGAAACAGATCTGTCCCCTTGTCAACACTTGGAGCTTGGGCTTCTAGCCTCCATGGTGAGCCAACCCATGTCAGTGTAATTCCCAAATCCCTCTCTTTCAGGATGCTGACTTCAAGGTTCCTGAGCATTTGACAGGCATTTTTTCTTAACTTTTTAATGATTTTTATTATATATATATTTTTTACATCTGCAGTTTCCCCTCCCTCCTCCCCTCCCAGACCCTCTTCCCTACACCTCCCCATTTCCTTCCCCCTCCCATCCATGCCTCTTCTTGATTGGACATTTTATAGCCTCACCTTATTGGATTGTTTCTCCACAGAGCTGTTGGGCTTGTCTCTTGAGCCTTGGTCACTGCCTTAACTGACCAGGACCTATGAACATAGACTGAGATTAAGGGGGAAAGAGAGCTGAACCCTCATGTTTCTTTCTCCTGAGTGTAAGGCAATACCAAGTCCTCACCCAGCACGGACACCCAGGTCCCAGTCCTGCCGAGCCACTGCTCCCAAGCCTGTTCCCTTTGAGTATGGAGTGAAACCATCTGGAAACATGCATGAAACCTAACAAAACAGTATGAAGAATTAAAGGCTTCTCGGTGATTTATGTACCTTTAACGATGGGCTTTTATGCTTTAATTAAAAAGTTACAGGATTTATCTTTACTTATGAAAAATGTGTTTATGGTTGGCTTCTTCTATCAATTAGCTATCCTGGGACCCCCGAGTTGGCTACATGCTAGCATCCTTGAGCTCCTTTTGGGGGTAGAAGAAGGAGGTCAGGGAGAAATATCATTAAGAAGGGAGGCTGTGACAATTTTCATTACTTTTTGATGATCAAGCAATAATTTTCCATGATAAATCATCTCATTACACCTCAAACTTGGAAGCAGGATCTAAATGTCATGGCTCTTTAAGGGGGCGGGGGCTGGTTTTAAAAGGATTCACTTCCACTGTAAGGATGAACATTAGAGGTTTACATGTCTAATAGTTTCTATTTTGTTACTAATGTGTTGATTAGCTCTCTCGTTGAACTAACCATGTTCGTCTCTGACTGTGCAGAGCTTCAATGTATTTTCCTACACAGTCAACTGGCGTCTACTTCTAAAATTAGACATGGCCTCAGGCTGGCTGATGGTGTCGGCTGCCTAGTGCAATGGGCTTACCCTAGTACCAAGATGTTTTTCCCGATTCGAGACTTGATCATCTCTGCCCTTTGCATTCTTATCAGATGTATCCATAGTTATCCACATTTGATTTTTTTATTCATTTTTGAATTTTATTATTTATTTTTATGTATACACTTATGGGTATTTACATATTTATGTCTACATGTGATTATTAAGTTTCCCATTCATGTCCTGTCTCCTCCACATGTTTGCTCCTCACTTTCCCAGCCCCCGCCTAAGTTGTCGTCACTAGCCCATCATTCATGTCACTGTTCTGCCATGAGCAGAACTGTCCCGTGGTGACTAAGTCAGCATGTGTCTGTCTCCTTTACAAACTCCTAAGTCCTGGTGATCATATTTAGTCACCTCTTTTTCCTTTTCTAGTCTACTAGACGTGGGGTCAGAGAACTGACTCAACCATGCTCCTAGTTCACGATGGGCTCATTCATACTCTCTCTCTCTCTCTCTCTCTCTCTCTCTCTCTCTCTCTCATTTATGTCTCTCTTCTTTCTTTTTTTTTTAAGAAATCACAGGTCACTGACTACTATTACAATGAATTTAATGGTGTTCCTTTGTTTACTAGTTTGTTGTATGCATTCTTATAAAATGTCAATCTCTTTTATGCATTTAAAATTTTAATTTGTATAAACACACACTTTCACACGCTTCTTAATCTTTCCCCTTAATATTATGCTTTGAGCATCCAAACATATTGCTGAACATATATCCAACCTATAACTTTGAACGACTGTGTACATTACTGTCACATTTTCTAACTACTCACCTCCCGTTGACAGGCACCCAGATTACCTCTAACTCTGCTTAGAAGCCTAAGGCATGTCTACCTAGAATGGGGTGTTTATGAGGGCCTTCTGTCCCTCGGAATGTCTGTAGCAATAGACACTCCTATGAACAGCCCACCTCACCCCTTCTCTGCCTGTGTATCTGTCCTTTCTCCATCCCCTTGCCTGCCCAGTCAGATTTCCAGACCCAAACCAGACGGGTCACAGCGCATAGTTCCACATCTTGATTTGTCTCTTTCTCGTGGGTCAAAGAGATCTCTTAATCCTCGTTTTAAAAATAGATTTGGTTCATCTCTGTATGTGCTGGTTAGCATGTTAGATTTCCAATCCCATGGGCTATCTCTCCATTATCCATCCATGTCTATCTCTCTTGCCCATATTTCATCTGACATTTTCATCCTTTGCTTATTGATTTACAAGAATGTCCAATGCATTCTAGATAAAGAACTTTCATCCACTTTAGGCACAGGGAAATGTCTCCTGCCAATTATCAACTGCCACTTAACTTTCCGTTGTATCCCTCATCCAAGAGAAACCCTGAATTCTGATGTGATTATAATTAAATGTCCTCCTACTATTTGAAATTTTGCTATAGATGATTTTTCTTATCCTAGGTCTCAAAGGTCCTCTTCTGGTGGCCTCATAGCATCGCATTCCCTCTTAGTTATCTCTAGTTCACTTATATGCAATACTAATGGGAATCAAGCTTAATGTTTCTCTACATGGCATGTGAATTTACCCATCTGCTAATTAAATAACTCATCTTGCCCACACTCATTTATGAGTCACTTTAACTAAATATCCTACTTCCTATTGGGATGCTGGAAGCTGTCTACCCACTTTTTTTTTACTACTTTGTTTTTAAATATGCTTTTTAAATGTATTTATTCATGTATTCTATGTTTTTTTTGTGAGTCTTCTGTCTTCATGCACACCAGAAGAGGGAATCATACCCCATTACAGATGGTCATGAGTCACCATGTGGTTGCTGGGAATTGAACTCAGGACCTCTGGAACAGCCAACAAATGCTCTTAACTACTGAGCCATTTCTCCAGCCTCCTAATAAATGTTTTAAATTAAAATAGAATTACATCACCTTTCCTTCCCCAAACCCCTCCCAAGTACCTAGCCTTCTGATGGCTCTCTCTACTTACTCCCTCTTTTCAGTTGATGTGGGCATCTATCCTTCCATGTAAGTTTTGGAATACAGATGTATTGACGTTCTTAAACAAACTAGAGTTTCCATTTAAGCTTTAAATATGCTTATTGGTTAATTAGAGATGAACTGACATCCTTAAAATATTGAAATCCTATCCTTGAACGTGACATGTGCCATCTTCACTCAGATAAAGTGCTCTGAATATTGCAGCAGCATTAACTTTTTCTCTGCAGAATTCTGTTATTCTTAAATTCATTTTTGCTTTTATTGTCAATGAGAATAATGCTCTATTGTAAAATATAGTGTATTTGATTATGACTGTTGCAGAAAAATGCTGTTTGGTTCTAGGCAAGCCTGAGACCCATAAATGTTTATGCTAATCATTTGTCTTCTGTTTTCTAGGCAAACAAACAATAACATTCAGCTCCTCCTTTCCAGTCTTTCAGCCTCTGATTTTTCCCATTTTTTTGAGTCACATTTTTCTGTATTGTCTTAGATTGAGGCAGTGATAATGGCACTCTATTCCCAATCTTAAAAGAAAGGCCTTTAACATTCCAAAATAACAATGTTCCCTGCATATTTTCAGTATAAAATCACCAGTTGAATAAACGTCCATTCTCTTCTTGGCTTGTTAAGAATTTTTCCATGAATACTTCAACTTTATCAATTAATTTCTCTACATCAATTGAGATATGATGCAAATTTTCTTTTTAGTCTATTAAAAAAGGCAGTTTGGATGCTCAACTTACTAGACCTGGATGGAGGTGGGGGTTCCTTGGACTTCCCACAGGACAGGGAACCCTGATTGCTTTTCGGGCTGAGGGGGGGGGGACTTAATTAGGGGAGGGGGAGGGAAATGGGAGGCGGTGGCTGGGAAGAGACAGAAATCTTTAATAAATAAATAAATTAAAAAATGGCAAGTTACATTGGTAGAGTTTCTGCAGTTAAACTAGCCATGCTTTTATTTATTTATTTATTTATTTATGATTTCTTCCTCCTCCCCGCCACCGCCTCCCATTTCCCTCCCCCTCCCCCAATCAAGTCCTCCTCCCTCATCAGCCCAAAGAGCAATCAGGGTTCCCTGCCCTGAGGGAAGTCCAAGGACCATCCACCTCCATCCAGGTCTAGTAAGGTGAGCATCCAAACTGCCTAGGCTCCCACAAAGCCAGTACGTGCAGTAGGATCAAAAACACAGTGCCATTGTTCTTGAGTTCTCAGTAGTCCTCATTGTCCGCTCTGTTCAGCAAGTCCGGTATTATCCCATGCTTTTTCAGACCCAGGCCAGCTGGCCTTGGTGAGTTCCCGATAGAACATCCCCATTGTCTCAGTGTGTGGATGCACCCCTCGCGGCCCTGAGGTCCTTGCTAGTGCTCTCTCTCGTTCTGCTCCTGATTTGGACTTTGGGATTTAAGTGCAGTGCTGCAATGTGGGTCTCTGTCTCCTTTCATCTCCTGATGAAGGTTAATATTCAGGAGGATGCCTATATGTTTTTCTTTGGGTTCACCTTCTTATTTAGCTTCTCTAGGATCACAAATTATAGGCTCAATGTCCTTTATTTATGACTAGAAACCAAATATGAGTGAGTACATCCCATGTTCCTCTTTTTGGGTCTGGCTTACCTCACACAGGATAGTGTTTTCTATTTCCGTCCATTTGCATGCAAAATTCAAGAAGTCATTGTTTTTTACTGCTGAGTAGTACTCTAATATGTATATATTCCATACTTTCTTCATCTATTCTTCCATTGAAGGGCATCTAGGTTGTTTCCAGGTTCTGGCTATTACAAACAATGCTGCTATGAACATAGTTGAGCATATACTTTTGTTGTATGATAGGATGTCTCTTGGGTTTATTCCCAAGAGTGGTATTGCTGGGTCCAGGGGTAGGTTGATCCCAAATTTCCTGAGAAACCGCCACACTGCTTTCCAAAGTGGTTGCACAAGTTTGCATTCCCACCAGCAATGGATGAGTGTACCCCTTTCTCCACAACCTCTCCAGCAAAGGCTATCATTGGTGTTTTTGATTTTAGCCATTCTGACAGGTGTAAGATGGTATCTTAAAGTTGTCTTGATTTGCATTTCCCTGATTGCTAAGGAAGTTGAGCATGACCTTAAATGTCTTTTGGCCATTTGAACTTCTTCTGTTGAGAATTCTCTGTTCAGATCAGTGCCCCATTTTATAATCGGGTTGATTAGCCTTTTATGGTCTAGTTTCTTGAGTTCTTTATATATTTTGGAGATCAGACCTTTGTCAGTTGCGGGGTTGGTGAAGATCTTCTCCCGGTCAGTGGGTTGCCTTTTTGTCTTAGTGACAGTGTCCTTTGCTTTACAGAAGCTTCTCAGTCTCAGGAGGTCCCATTTATTCAATGATGCCCTTAATGTCTGTGCTGCTGGGGTTATACGTAGGAAGTGGTCTCCTGTGCCCATGTGTTGTAGAGTACTTCCTACTTTCTCTTCTATCAGGTTC